TAGAGCACCAATTCTTGTCTGCATCATCTGGAGGACACCTGTTAAATCAAGCAGATGTATTACATGTAACACTGACCAACTAAACAAGGGACTATAAAGACAGAGCTAAACGAATGACACATTGCCTATTCTGAAATAAGCTGTGCAGATAAGTCGACTACTCAACATTAGGAAAATTTATTGGTAGAGAACATGAACATACATAACAAACTGAAATTCATTATATGTTAAATCTCAAATCTAAAGAGAATGAGACTGCTGTTCAAAAACGTATCATTCAGTACACACGCTTGTACCTAATATACAAAAATGGCATTACATTTTCAACAGAAAGTCTTTTCAATTCAGAGGAACCAACACACAAAGAAGACTGAAAAAGTAACCAGTTCTATTTCAGAATTTTCTTCCTTTAGTGCCTTTAGCTAAAACTAAGGTATCGATGTCACTGAGATTATTTAATTTAGATTACAAACAGAGCCAACTATCCTAATCACATTTGTTCCAGATTAGTTCAGCAAAGCAGCACAAAGAAAGCCCATAAATATCCCCGCTCTTTTCCTGTTAAGCTGCAAACAAAGCAGTCAAGGGCAGCAGCCATTTTTTTTACAATATAGAATCAGTCTGTTGAGAATTTAATTAAGTTACACAAACAGAGACCTACAAAATTAGTAGGTTTGAGAATGTTCACAGTAACTGAAACAAAAATACACTTTTTATGAAGTCTTATGAAGGAAGATTCCTCTGACATACATACATGCAATGGCAAACATGCAATTCTCACACATCAGAGATAGGAGATACAGGAAAAGTTGGTTGAACGGGCTGAATTTTCTACTCTGTACTGCAATAATGGTGGGCAGCCAGTACCACGACTTTGGTATGGCTGTTATTGTCACATTACTCTAATAGCACAGCAGTCCTCTTGCCAGAGGGCAGAATCAGGAGGATCTACCCTGTGTCTGCTGAATAAGATTTGGGATGATGCTATTTGGTCTATCTTGAGCTAATGAAGCAGAAAAGAGCGCGTACGGCAGATTACTGCACTGTTAAAATGCACAGACCTGAAAAAGAAAGCAAGTCTCCAGCAATTTATTGTACCAGTTGAGGAAGATTTAATGTAAATGTTTGATGAGATCCACTTTGCACATTCAAATGATGCTGTAAGTTAGTTCCATAAACTTCACTTGATACCTTCTTTTGATAAGCATAAAATCAAGCCCCAATTTGTACGTTTTTACCTTCACAGTTAATATTTCTACTGACATTCATCTTTTCCCTTTCCTATGAATCTTGACTATGAATCTATGAATGTTTTTTACAGCAACCATAACATACAATGTGCAGCACAAGACAGGCAGAGGTAAGAAAAGAAGAAAAACAAACTTAAAACACATTTTGTTACGTTGATTTGGATTTTCCTGATCTCCTGCTCCGTTAACTGCAGAACTGAAGTTCCTGCCGATATCTCAAGTATCAAATGCTTTTCAGGGTTAGAATCATTCAAAGTTTCTACTCCTCTCACCCACAAAGAAGACTTCCTGAAGAGCATAACCCTCTACCAATGACAAAATGTTAACACAATTTAGGCAGCTTAGATTTTAGTTTTACTTTACATTATTAGCTATGTAACATACATAATTCACTGCATTTGCCTTATATGTTTCAGAACTGAACACTCATTCATTCAGAAAGGAGTGTGCAAGCAGCTATTCTAGGATGGAATGTCTGCAGGAACAAGCAGAACACAATTCCACTGAGCACGAATTGTCGGACACTGTGGCTGGGAGACAATTACCAATCATTAGACTGATGTAGAGGATAGATTCCTGCCTACTCATTATGTGGAGTAGGAACGTGCATTCAGGTCTTCCTCTACCTTCATTTTCTGCATTGTTTAAAACGCAATTTAGGAGTTAGTGTTGCTAGATTAAATAGTTATTTCTCTGTGTCTGCTTGGAAATGCTAACAGTTGAATACTATGTCTAAGAAGTTCCAAAGACTCAGGAGACACACTGTCAGTGAGCAGAAACTAGCTGCTTATGTTGAAACCTAAAACTGTAAAAAGGGACAGAGATGTACATCAAGTCATAAAATGGCCACGATAAGGAAGACAAGCATATCTTGACTCAGTGTTTCGCAGTGACCATAACATTATGCTATGCAAAGAATATATGCAAAGGAGCATACATTATAGCAGTCAGTATTTTTCTGCACAAAGAAAAAAAAAAGAACATATGAAATCCCTGGCAAGTAATAGGGAGCAAAATTAGAGGTCTAAATTGCTCCTGACATAAGTGCTGTATACACAACCATTTTTTTCCATATAGGCTCAATATCTCCTAGGCTAAGCCTTTTAAAAAAAGAAATTTCTATTAAAAGCCAGATCTTAAACCATGGAAGAAAATAACTGTATATTTTAAACTTGGCAGCCAACTTCCAGAGGGGGGAAAAAAATGCAAGCAAGATTGTGTGTTAAAGCCTCTTCACTTAAGATTAGCAGACTTTGTGAGACATTCAATATTTACAAACTTCATACTTACAGCAACAGATCTTAGCTAGCATTCTACTAAAATTTGACATATTTAGAAAAACAAGTCAAAAGGTAACTACTCCAGAAAAGTATCAGCCAACTCTTCTTCCTAGAGCTCCCTCTGCTGATACAAACAAGAACAGCCAAATATTACTTCTGAAAGTAAGATCTGTAACAGGTAACGTTATGGGCCAAAGTGAATGACATTGTCCGAGCAAACATCAACAGCAATTTCTCAGTTAAAAGAAACACCAGCATAATGTAAACATATTTACCTTCCAGGGATTCAATCCCAGTTGCTTGGGCCAATAGGTCTTCATGTCTTGCAACAACCTTAAAAAAAAAAAAAGGAAAAAAAAAAGAAAAAAAAGAGATGAGAAATCATCACAGAAGAATGGAGATTTGATGGTGAAAAGAACAGCAAAGCATCATCATCTTCCTACATTACGCAGACACAGGAAATAGTGGCTGCACTTTAAAAATGAAAAGGTTTTCGGAAATATATTATAACTCACAAAAAGAGTGAGCTCAGAATTACAATATGGTCAGTTATTGCAGCTCAGCCAATAGATATTAAATAAAGCCAGTAGAGTACTGTCACATTCCAAAACGCTCTCATATATAACAATCATTGTAAATGTAAGCTTGTTAATTGCCAAATAAGAAAGTATATTCACAGTTTTGGTATTTTAGTTCCTATTTACTAGAGGTAAATTTTTAAAAACTCATTCTCTAAGAATGTAATGATGCAGGAAAGTATGTTTCTGAAACTAAACACAAACTTCGCAAATTTTCACGTGGCAAGGCCCACTTAAGCGTCTGTATGGATTCCACAAGAAAACTTTTGCCCCATACAAACTCAAAACCCTTTTGGAAGGCTTGGAGGTGCATTAATACAGGTTATATTTGCCCAGCTAAAGGGAGAACCGCAGCCCAGGTTAAGAGTGTGCAAAATGAATCATGCAGTTATCCTCTGCATTATTGATCATCTCTTCACAATCACCTTCCCAAAAAGGCACTTTTTTCAGTCAACAGGATCATTCGGAAAGAGTAAAGAAGCATCTCAGAAAGAAGAGTGGAAACTCCAAGCACAGACACCAAGTGCAGAAATTAAAAGCAAAACAGCATTCAGATTCACTGCTTCTTTTGCAGCAAGTTTTACCTTTAGTGACCACAAGCTGAGTACACCGGATAATTTCAGAAGCAGCAAACTCAGGACACCACCCGACTTTTAACAAGTTTGTATCAACCTTTCCAGAACAATAGGAATGTTTGAAACTTACTTGTAAATGAAGCTCTTTATCCAGCTGACTAATACCTTGTGCGAGTTTTGCTAACTGTTCAGCTATCACAGCCTGATGGATGGACTGGGAAGTGTAAGTTTTGACATCAAAATCTTCTCTGAAGAAGTCAGCATAACATTCTGGAAAAACAAAACAAAAAAAAAGTATGTTTTATTTTCGTGTTTCTGAGCAGTAAAATAGTATTTGTGGACATAAAGCATGTGCTTTGCAGACCATCAACCTCTCCATGTATATCAGCACATGTTCTCTACATTGCACTGTAAAAACAAGACACTGAGAAGAGGCCATGATCAAGAGAAAGAGGCTTGAAGCTAAAGACTTCCTTTCTAATAGGAAAAAAAAAATAAATAAAAAGAAAGACAGGTATCTTCCTTTATTCCCCAGCAGCTTTCCTTGAGCAGGATATACTAAGAGGTGCTGTCACCTTCCTCCTCAAACTCCATGAACTAAGTAAGGTGCAGTGTGCGCGAATCAAATGTACGACCCTTTTTACACGGAAAAGAGGCAACACACGCAACTCCATGAAGCCCCAGAATTTTATCCCCACGGTGGATTCCAGGGTGCTGGATTAGGAAGCGGCCGCACCACGAGGCCTTCAGCACGGGCAGGCACGAGGGGGCAGTTCGCTCCCAGCGCCAGCAGCCCCTTCCCTCGCCCCGGCTCCCTCCCGGGGCAGGGACCCGCTGTCGGCACGAGGACCAAAGTTGCCCGGTTCCCGCTGCCTGGGACGCGGCGGCACGGGGGCGCAACCG